TTACTTTATATCCTACTTTGAATGCTCAGGCCCAATATTGGAAACGGTCTTTAGAAGTAGCAAAATGTCAGGGATGTCTTTCTCTGGATCCAGTACTGGGTCTGGGCATTCAAAGTAGGGTATATTTTTCAAGAGAGGTCCCCAAATAGCAAGATGATTGTCACTCTATCTGGAAAACTCCTGACTCTCCATGTGCTTTAGTTTTAAATTTAACTGAACCATCAGTGGCACCACATCTAACTCTTCCTAAGCAAGGGCAGGCATTATGATAGCCACCTTTAGTTTTTGTTTTTGTTTTTTTCCCCCAAGGTCCTCATTTTTGCAACTGTCTGAAGCAGGTAACCTCTGACAACAGCTGCTAAATGCAAGTGCTCAAGAGACTGGAAAACAAATATTTCAAACCATTTTTTCTGACCTCACCTGCATCTTCATCAGGGCTACTGAATGTGAAAGACAGCATTTTCTGTGCCTTCTGTCATGCTTGTTGGTAGGTGATAAAGCACGAGTTGTCAAAGAGGCCTTGGAGGGAAAGTCTTTCCAAGACATTCATAATTCCTCAGGGGAGCCCACATTGCAGTGCTCTTCATCACTCTTCTTGTTGAACAGCATAGGCTACGATTTAATCCTACGAATGTTAGGATTAAAGACTGCAACAACAGGCAGCGAGTTAATGAGTTTTGTTAAGGATTATATCTGAATGAGCCGGCAGTAGTTTGACATTGCTTGATGTTACTATGTGTAATACAGTTTCACTAGTAGTATTTTTCCTCCAGCAGTATTTTGGTAACATTGCCTTTCCATCTAGGGCTTTCAACTACATATACTGTCATTTGAATAGTAGGTTATAAAGAAATTTACAGTGTTAGTCACATAACTTCAAATTGTACTGGATTTTATACAGAAAAGCGCAACTGGCAATCTCTCAGTAATTTGCCATGAATTTCAAGCAAGTCAGAGGCTAGGCTTGTTTATCTGCTCATAGCTAGAAAAACTGCTTCTATTCAAAACAATAATACAGAATAAAAGAAATAATTTAAATACAACCAGTCTGAAGTAACTATCCGCCTTCTTAATGTTTCTATAATAAAGAAGAACAGACAACAGCAGAGCAAAGAAATGAAATGCCATTCATGATCTGTAGGAGCTTGCAAGACAGATACATCCAGTGTACTCACTCAACGCAACTATTTCCTATTTTTCAGTTTCCTAAAATAAGGTAAAGTTTTTTGTACCATTTCTCTCCCTTGTACTAAATTTTGAATCTGTTGACCAATAGCAAAGTTATTAGAGGGTAGAGGATCTTTCATAAAAACAGGTGGCTAAATGAAAATTATACCCTTTAACAATACCTTGATACCCTTGAATGAAAGCTTATTCACATGTTAAATGCCAGATAATCTACACAGAAGATCAGAGGTAGGACAGAAATGCATGGACCTCTTTTTTCAGACACTTAATTTCATATTCATGCAATTCACTGCTGCAAACACTACTTAGTTTTTGAAAGTTGCCCAAACAAGAATTCAAAATATTTCTGAAGTTTGCTTAGTACCAGACTGGATTCTGCAAGAAACGTGAAATACCACTATATGTATGTGATTGGTGACTAAGTACCAGTATTATCCAGCTCTCTTACAGAGGGCTTCATCAGAAGATGATGGCAGGTTTTAGAAAGCAGAAATAGTTTAAGAAAGCTAATAGTTTTAAAAAAATTAAGAAATCCAAGCATTTTTATATAATGAATTCCAAGACTGATTAAGCAATGAAATAATAATGCACAAACAATCTCATTTGTGTGTCCACATAAGTGCTTTCCCCTTCTACTTTTAAAAGCAGTGATAGGCACTCAGTCATAAAATAACTTCAAAATGTTTAGGAAGGAGCTGTAAGAATTAACTTTCCCTATCATAAGGAAAAGTTCAGAAAAGTTAAATCATTCACCCAAAGAATAAAGGAAGGGGCGCAAACTGAACCCTCCAACGTAACTTTGCTTGTTTCTCAAAAATGCTCATGTATCCTATCAGAACCAGATTAATTAGAGAAGCATGGGGCAAGCAGTTGTGGCTTGCAAGTAGCATGCACAGTCTTGGATTCTAGATGAGATATATGCATAAAGAGAACACAAGATTTTGGTATCCGAATCATGACTGACTTCTCACTTTTCTGGAGAAATCCTGCTCTGAGTGACACTGATTCAGAATACATGGCTATCAGACATCACAACCAGAAAAACCAACAGGATTAAGGCAGTAAAAGTAGTGCTCTCAGGTCAGAACAAGCTCCCCCTGCTGTTATGCTCCTTCTCTTCCCCAGTGATTCATGAAAACAAAGACCATTGCTGCCATACATTAAAGTAAGTCTTACAGCTGAAGCCAGTTGAGCACCAATGACACAAGGGAGCAGGGTGTTTTAGATATTTTATTTATTTCAACGAGTACAACTGGTATGATAATTACAGGCAACTTGTGCTGTAAACATCTCCTTCCCTGAGGTGGACCCTGTCAAAGGTAAGCTTTCCAGCTTTCTTTCATTGTTCTCTGAGAGGAAAACATACAATTCAACCACTCTGTAGCTAGATATCTCTGTGACAGATATGACTGGGCTTGGCACATGCAAGCATCTTGGTTAGTACACTGGCAGCAGAATAAATACTCCATAACAAAGAACAAGTGTCTTCAAAACAGAAGCATTCATTTATCAAGAAAAAAGCAAAGCTAACAGTAAAAAATAAAGGCAGTAAAGGTGACTATCCCTTAACTTCTTGACCATCTTTGGCACATTCTGTGCAGCCCATTTAAATCCGTTTCTGGGTTTGGCATTAAAGTGTCCTGCTTAGAGCCTGTTGCTTTTCCCTTATAAATTTGGTAGCTTTCACTGATACTCACTGTAACACTGAATTAAATTTGCCCCATTTCCATCACTTTTTAGCGTAGAGTCTTGCAATAGATTAACACTATTGATCTAAGTTTAACCTTTGGGAGAAAAAAAATTCAAATTTAGCTAGGATGGAGTAATAAATAGCTGTCCTATTATCTCCTAAAACTGCTATCTGGATCATTACTTCGCTTAGCCTGCTTGCTTCCTTTAACACTGCCTTTTGATCCAACAGTAGGCAGCAATCTATTGCAAGCATACAGATACTAATTCCTAATTCACAGTGGATAAGATTATGGTATTTCCTAATTTTCTAGGATTTGTAAGTAAAACTGCTATATGGACTATTAAGTCTGCTCATTTGTAAAAATGTCTTTCACAGGATTAAAAGGTGGGTTAAAAGGCACAGGCAGAGACATACAAATACCACAAGAAGCCTGGAGTATTAATAGATGACAGGTCAAAACATAAAAGGCTGTTATAACTTCTTCAAAATTAAAGCAAGGACTTCAGGACCTGGAGAAAAGGTAGCAGATGAACCGTTATTCAAGGCAAAACAAGTAAGCAGGGGCACATTTGTGCTAAAAGTAGCACATAACATAGCAGTAAGTGGTGAGGGATTATGTTACGGGACGGACAGAAAATGTGAGGTAGTCTTGGACTGCATTTTGTGAGCTCACAGAACATGGGTAGCACCATAAGCTGAGTTGAGGCAGGCCTTCCAAGGCAATTAAAATCACTGCCTTAAATCCTAAGCAGCCAAAGGGTAGACCAAGCTATTATAACCAAACAAACTATTATTATCGCTCTGCACATTAAAATGCATCACATTTGAGATCTCCTGCAGATTGTATGCTTTGTTAACGTGCAGATGACAGAACCAATTACAGAAGTGATTGAACGCCGAAGTGAATGCACTTTCAGAAACCAATCTTACACAGCTATGGAAACTGTGCTATTAATTTCTTCTACATTGAGAAGCTTTTGGTTTATTATATATTCACCTGTCTTACTCTAACAATATTCTAATTTTAGTCAAATAGTCTTCAACAACAGACTCAGGACATTATCTCCAGCTGGAATTTAATTTTTAACTCAGTAAATTGTCAATGCAGATTTAGGCTTAATTCATTATTGGATGCTTTTTGGGCATTTCTTTTTCATTCCACAATGACTAGACTAATGCTAGAAGAGTTTCCATCCAAAACACAAAATAATCTATTTTGAAACAAGATTTCCAGTACAGAAAGAAGCATTTTTTTTGCCAAGTGTAACATCAGAACACTAAAATATACTAAATTTATATTCTCAGTATATACCATGCTAGAGTAAAGACATGCAAAAAATCTCCGAGATTTTTAGTACTTGTAAGGCCCCTTGGATCTACCCATTACAAAAACATACATTAATAATTTTGCTTGCTGTTAGCCTAAGTTAATATTCATCTTGGTGAAACTCTGATTTCATGTAAACAAATTATCCCAAGTTTCAGAATGTCAAACAAGCATGAAAAAGATTCAAGAAATAGCTACATAATTTGTTTTCTTTTTTGAGAAATTATCTCTGCTCATACTTTAATACAGTTTTTCCTAAGCGTAAAACACAGTTAGCAAGTGACGTCTTTACTTCTGAACCTACTTCTGATAAAAGCTGTTTATTCCAGAATTTGAAGCAGAGATGGTGAATTTACTGCCTAAAGAAGAGCAAATAAAAAGTGTCTTATTTTTCAAAGAAGTTGACTCTCTATTCCTGACTTCAAACTGAGCTCTGCATCCTTAAATATATTTGTAACTACCAATTAACTTATTTTCATTGATTATAGTGAGTTTGGTCAGTACCAGACATTTTTTCTACAGGTGAAAGTTATTTTCAGACTCTAAATAGACAGTGGAGATAAAATATTTCATTCTAAACATGAAAAATATACTACAGCAACAATGGTTAATTTCAAGGGATACATACAATACGAAAATAATTGCTTTAGAAAGTACTGATTTAAAAAAAATGAATTCTATTTTGGTTTTATAAAAGTTCATAATTTTATCAAAATTTTAATGACTCTGACATTTATGTCCAAAATCAGTATTACAACCATGTTTTAGATATTAAGCTTTAATACCATCTTCCTATTTTTCTATGAAGAACTTGCTGTGAGATCTTCTGATTGTCTCCAGGTCTTTGCTAGTGAGTGGTCCTTTTGGCAATTCTAGCAAAGTGCTCTGTGTGTCCAATATGTTCTCTGCTTCACCTCAAAAAAATAAAGAAATTAAATAAATTTCCTCACCCTTACTGTGAGAAAGCAAAGGAAGTAAAAAAAAAAAAAAATATTAAGAAACTGATTAAGCTATTCTTGTTTGGGCCAGAACAACAAAATACCGAGTCACAGTTGATGCCAGTGTAGCATTAAAGTTGTCTTTAGGAATTTTGGACCAGTGGGATAACTGCACATGGAAGTGTTTGGTCTGAACTGAATATCTGCCTCAAGCTGCATTTGTTTGAAAGAACTTCTGCCGTAACAATCAATTGTGGTGTTGTCTCTGCCATGTCTGTTAGCCCCTTTCTCCTAAGGAGTACACTGAGTTATAGTAATGTTAACGTTTAGAGATTTATTACGCACTGCTTTGGAATGGAGGCATGAGATACAGCAAGGATTTAGCATCACCATGTACTTTGTACCAACCCCATGCTGTATTTGATCAATTAGGAGTCTCAGAAGAGAGTGGATCAGACATACACACAAAAGTGTACATGAGCTTTAAGAAGTAAATACCCTGTACACAGTATCTTAGACATGTCATATTTGGGGACAATTGTCTCAGGCCTAAGCTAAAAGATGTCAGGCTACAGGCAGAAAGTGGGTAGCACAGGACTTGAAGCAGCACTGGTCAAAGCACACTGCTCACAAAAAGATTTGCTAAGACAGTTACCTAAACATGCAATCTTAAGAGCATAGTAGGGCAAAGTTGTAGGGTGCAGAATGCTCTGGGTAAGGCTGGCATGAAAAATTGTAGGACAGAGAATCCAAAAAACAAAAGATACAGATTGAACAGTATGTATAAGTTGTGGTGATCTGATTGTGGTATAAGAGAGGATGAAGATTAAGCAAAGAACGTGGGCTTTTTTGGCTGATGCCATCTAGTACAATGCCAACAATCTTGTTTACCTATGCTTTAACTCCTAGCTTGATGATGGTTACAGCAGTTATTTGAAGCTGTATTTACATCAATAAACTTGACTGAATATTGGAGTGCAGTAAGACTGTGGTCATTCTTTAAAACAGGTCTGAATGCTGAAATCTCCAATTGCAATTTTGGTAGTATTACAGCGGTTTGGATCTCCGCACATTGGTAATAGCCAACAGGATGACACTGGTTACCACTCCCCGTAACTGGTAATAGCACAATGTCAGTCAGTTACACAGAGCACCTGATTATGTAATAGGAAGAGATCTTAGGTGACCGAGAGATGTTATAGATAGCCAAATCCTATGCCTGTCACTCACATGCACTAGAGCAGATTGCCCAGTCACCGTCCTTCTCACATGGCTCAGGATACAAGCAGTGAGCTATCTAAATCTTGGAAAAGGCAGCCCGAGTTTCATTGCTTACTGGAGAAGTTCAGTGCAGTTGGAGGCTGGCTATACAATCCCTCTCCTCCTCCAATCATTTGTCTGAAAAACACCAGTAATATGTACCTGGACTGGGAGGGAAAGCAGAACAGCAAGGCCAAGAACACAGATAGCAGGTCCATGACTGATTCTTAGTGTCCTCATTCAGAAAAGATAGTGCACTTGATGGCTGTTCTCTCTCTGTAACCCTGCCACCCCTAAAAGTTTCTGTTCTGATACATGGCCCTCACACACTTGCGGCTTTTCAACAGCACAAGCAGAACCCAAAACAGGTATTTCTCCCTGTGTCCTTAGTTTTTGCTTTAATTAGCTCAAGCTATAAAGCAGGGAAAAAACCCTCTGATTTCAATGTGGGAGAATATACTCCTCATGAGAAAATGTTTGGACAAGTAGGCTAGAAACAGAAAAAAAAATTAACTGTAAGTAAGATCAGAGACAAAATGCCTGGTAAAAGAGAAAGAGAAACCTTCTAAGGGTATAAATTGATTCCAGAGAGTGAAGGACAGCACATGCAGGGCTATTTGATCAAGGTGGTTCAGATACAAATAAGATTGTGCAGCACAGAAATAATTGCAGATCAGCTTAGAAGAGGGAATTGGCCATGAGGCTGAAGACTGGCATACCCTGGAGGAAAGAGATCAGTTGAAGAAGGAACTATAAAGGGAATGGTGTATACATTCATCATTACACCACAGAGATAAAGCATGGCATGCACCAATAGAATACATGGACAAGCAGGGAGGTGGCTGAGAAAGTAGTCTGGGAGCGGACGCAGGGATCAGCTAGGTAATAAGAACAAGCATTGTGGCTGCAGGTCAATTGAGTCATAAAACCTTCTCTTCAATTACTTAAGTTTAATCTTAAAATAAAAATGAACTTCTGAACCCGATTTCCACATAATTACAAATCTTCTTCTGATTTCCAGCCCAGATTCATTCAGGCTAATCTATTTCCATTTACACTAGTGCTGATATTACTAATTAGTTTAATTTCCTTCTCTTACTTTCCTTTATCCTATCTCGTAAGTAGGATCTGTAGACCCAAATCTCTCAGGTCTTTTTACAAGGCTAAACAAACTAATCACTTTGTTTTCTCTCACAAGGCAGCTCAGAATCCTCTGATAATTTTAGCTGCTCAGTAATTCTAGATTTCCTGTACAGAAGTGATCCAAATTATGTATAAATTTCCAAGGAAGGGTATTACTGTTTTCCTGCATCAATATCTTCCTATCTGTACTCTCTATTTATACTAAGGTTGTGCAATATCTATCCCTGGAAATATTCAAAAGCCATCTTGACATTTTCCTGGGCAATTGGCTCCAGGTAAGTCTGCCTGAGCAGGGGAGTTGGACCAGACCACCTCCAGAAGTCCCTTCCAACCTCAACCATGCTGTGATACTAGGAAACCTCACTTGATGTTTCTAGACTTCACTTGACTCTCATAATTTCATCACACTACTTGATTATACTCATTCTGCAATCACTCAATACATTCAGCTTTTTCCCTTTTTCTATGATTTCCCGCTGGTGAGGCCTGATGGTGGAAATCCCTATTAGTCTCTAGCTTCTTGCTGACCTTCTTATCAAATTGAATCCTATTTTATTATCTCAGTTCTTCAGGTAGTCAGTTCTTCTTGAACTAAATAAACTACAGTTTATTTTTTCTCTGTTGATGGCACTAATCAAGTTTGTCATCCTCAATCAAGTTTGTAATCCAGATTTGATTAGTATAACCTACTCATAATTTCAAATACAAAACCAAAGCAGATCCAGACCAAATCTTGAGGAATATTGCTAATAATCTTGACAAAGACTATCCTTCCTCTTTAAGCACAAACCTTTGACATCTTCTCTTTACTCCAGTGCTTGCCTGTCTACTAACTTCGATGTCATAGAATAGTTTAGGTTGGAAGGGACCTTCACAGGTCACCTAGTCCAATGTCCCTAAAATAAGCAGGGACATCTTCAACTAGATCTAGATCAGGTTGCTCAGAGCATCTGACCTGACCTTGAAGGTTTCCAGGGATGGGCCATCTACTACCTCTCTGGGCAACCTGTGCCAGTGTTTCATCGCCCTCATTGTGAAAAACTTATTCCTTACCTCTAGCCTGAATCTACCCTCTTTTAGTTTAAAATCATTATCCTTTGTCCTGTTGCTACAAGCCCTGCTAAAAAGTCTGTTCCCACCTTTCTTCTAAATCCCCTTTAAGTACTGGAAGGCTGCAATAAGGTGTCCCCAGAGCCTTCTCTTCTCCAGGCTGAACAACCCCAATTCTCAGCCTGTCCTCACAGGAGCTATGTTCCATCCCCCTGATCATTGTTGTGGCCTTCCCCTATGCCCTTCATGCTAACTCAATCTTGATGTGGTAGTACACTAAATGCTTTCAAGAGTTTATAATAGATCTATCACATTTCTTTTGGAAAAGAGAAATTATTTTATTGGAAAAGATGGAGTTAGTTTGGCATATTTCATTTTATCTTATTGTCCATTTAGCTCCATAGCTTTTTTCCCCACAACCTTTTCACAAGCCTTACATAATGCTGAAGTTTTCTTAGTGGATCTGAAATTATAAAGAGGACTTTTCCTATTTGGAAAGCAATAGGATACCACATTGCCCCTCTTCAACCTAGACAGGGCCATATGGTCCTCAGTAAATACATTACATACTCTTGCCATCAGGTTTGCATTATGAAATGCTCACTCTTTCAAAATTCTGGAATGAGAATTACCTCAATTTTCAAAAATGTTATTAACAAATCCTAAATCCCAAGTGTTCCTTCTGCACTGTGTGTACTAGTCTCCTTTTCAACACTCTGATTTACAAGAGCCACCAATTTTTTCTCCCTTTGCTTAGCTGCCTCTTCATATTAAAATAAAAAAAGTATTTAGTGGGGTTTAGGAAACGTTCGTAGATATACATTGCTGCCAACACCTAAATATATTTGCACCTGTCTGCAGCAGGAAATATCTCAGAGTTTGTCTTATTAATCTATTATTATTTTTGGTGAATTACACGGAGTTAGGAAAGCTAGCTCTTAGGTCTGGAGTCTAAGACCAAGAACTGAAAAAAATTTTTATTCTGTTTCAGTATGTTTGTGTCAGTAGCGGACAGGAAAATGAAGTGACTTAACTAAGATGATTTGTGAAGGTGACAAGCCATGGCCCAATGCTGTCTTCACTTAGAGTGAACACTCTCTTAGCGTGTCTCTTTCACTAGGAATCAGAGCTAACATAAAGACACCTCCATAATCCTCAACACTCATCACTTAATCAGATCTGCCACTGTCAACTATGAGGCAAGACCCCACTTTCAGGGACTCACCTTTCTTTTTTTTCCATCTTAGCATGGCACTGTGGCAAGGTGATCAGCTGACGACTGTGTTTGGTCATGAAGGTGTAAGGGCATGCATGATTCCTGTCTGTATCTCTTTATCTGCTCTTAACCATCCCTACCCCTTACTAAAACAGCAGCATTAGAGCAGAGCATGGAAGGAAATCTCTAGATCTGTCATTTGTCACAAATATGCAATGCTTACTTCAGCTGTATTTGTAGCCTTAAAAGTCACATTTTTTTAAAACAAGAGAGGAGAAATTAAAACCCAGTCTTAACGGGAGGGAAAGGCTGTAAAAGTAGAGTCAGTACTCTTGATTAGGAAAGTATCTGATTGTAACAAAGAAGAAAAGAAAGGAGAGAGTAAGATTTTTGTCCAGAAAAAAAAGACAAAGTCTATTGCAAGTTTTCCCCCAGCCATTCTAAAACAATAAGAGGTTATCTGAAATATTAAGCTTGGTTCTATGTGTGAACCAGATAGACTTATATAGACATACCTTTTATCCTTTGCAACAGTGTCCCATAGCCCATATCGTATTGATAGGCAAATATAAAGCTTAAGGGAACTACTGGCAATAAAACTCCTGGGTTGTTCTTCTTTATTGCTCTGCTCAAAAAAAAAAAAAAGAAAGAAAAAAAAATCTTATTTAGGACATTCAGCACATCAGCACTGTTAGTTCAGTTGACCTTGACTGTCTAGGACTTGTGTATCCTTCTACACTCTCTAATCAAAGAACAAATCTTAATTTTCTCAGAAGCATTCATCTTCTGGTTGCCTTCTTGCTTAACTGTCAACCCAAGGGTATTAAAAAAAAAAAAATGCTTTGAGTGAGTTTTGACTATATCTAACAAAAACGGGATTATCTAACTCATGTAGCATACATGTGCACATGCATATATCCATCCAGCCAATTGCAACATGTAGCAATCAAGTTACTATGTTCAGTTCCAAATGCATTCGAGTCCACAGAGAACACATAATGCATAAGGTGCATTTAATCTGTACTATGTACACAAAACCACAAATATTTCCTGCATTCCCTCTAATCATGTTCTAGCACAAGAAAAACGTGTTAGCAAACAAAAGTCCTATAAAGCAAGTTCTTTCCCATGCAATATAGTTTTATTAGCCAGGGTTTTTTTAATTCAAATTTTAAGTGAACAATTTTCAGAATATGTCCACTTGTTCACTGGCATATTAAAAAACACAGATGATAGAGGACTTGTTGCTCATTAGTAGCTCATTAAATCACAATATAAACAAGAAAATAGCATGTCTTTTGAACAATCCCTCCTGCTCCATACATAACTTATTTTACACTGATTTTTGGTACCTCAGCTGTATCATTTTATTGTCATCTAACATGTCTCTGCTTTTATAAAATCTGTGGTACAGACATAACCAAAACACATCTGGAAGCAAACAGAAATCAGGTCACTATCATCTGATCAATCTCTGAGCAGTTATTGGATAAAAATAACTACCTGTTGTAATGCAAAAGGAAGATCCAGCATCATAGAAATATAAATGTACTATATTTATATTTTCTGTTAGGAAATAAACTGCATACCCAACTGTTAAACCTACAGCTGCAAGCCCAAAAAATGTCCCAAAATATCTGAGAAATTCTGGTGTCCAAGCAATCTGCATGGCTGTTTGTGTATCTCTCATCTGGTTCTGCATCAGTAGTTGCCTTTCCAGCTAAAGAAGGGAGAGAGGTTAAACAAAATTAAGTCATCCATTTATATTAAAGACAGAGTCAATCTCTCATTGGTATATAAATCCGAAACACTGAGAAGGTTTCTCTTTTTTCTTTTACTTCAGTCATTCATAGCCTTTAATTGAGAATGGTCTTCTTCAGTAATGACTTAGAATAGTTTATATCAAGAAAGCATGTAGGTCAATTAGCAAATGCTTTAATGCAGAATCTTTCTAATGCTGCTTCTCAAGGTCAAGAAAACCAGGATACTAGTGTTAGGTTTTGAGGGTTCCCCAGGTCTCAGCAGCCTAGGTAAAGGTTCTCTGACCTTTGCATTTCCATAGTGATCCAAAGGGTACCATCTAGCTGCCTTCCAATCTACTCTGCTTGATTTTAATTTAGCTGACAGTACCTTTAGAATCAATCTTGACACCTCTTAGCCCTTTGAGGATTTCTCTTCTTCATGATGCATCATAAAGCTAATAACTCCTTTGAAAGACCATAGTTTATAAATATAGAAAAAAATGCTGTGAAGATAGCAGAACTTTTAAAGATACTGGAATATATATCAAAAGTCCATGAGAAAATACTTCTGTAATTTAAATTTAAAAAGATAATGAAAAAAGTACAATCTAGACAGTAGATTATATGATATATTGTATATGATATTATGTATATGATATATTCATACATCACAGTAGAACTTTTGGTGCTGCATAGGAATAAAGCAAGCAGACTATTAGGTTATTTTTTTTAATTACAAGCTCCATCTTAAACATCCCAGTACATTTCCATTAAATAACGGTAAATGTAGTATGTCTTAAAAGTTCCTCTGTACTTGTACAGAACACCAAAAAGAACAGTGGTCTTTCCTCCATAAAAGTGATGCAAAAAAAAAAAAAAATCTGTGTCAAAAATAAGCAGTCCAAAACCAGAGGATAGAAGTTAGTTAACACATTAAGAAGTCTGCTTCTTCCCATTAATGTTTGTAACTAATTTAAAAAAAAAAAAAAACAGAGTATTTGAGTTGGTATGTCTAGCCTAGCTAACCAAGTTGCATAGAAAGTCCAACAAGGTACAAGAAACAGAATACCAGCTGCCAAAAAAAGTGTATTCTAGAAAAAGAGCAAAGAGAGAATTCAGAAAGTTCTCTTCTCATGCATCTATAAAAGTAATTAAATCTGTTCTTTTCTCCTGCTTTCTAATTCAAGAATAATTTAAAGGATTTGTAATTACTTAAAGTTTCCACCCATTTATTCATCTCCATTACTATTGATTTAGCCAGAACAATTTCTGTTAAATTGTTACTAATTATTTCTTCAGACTATGTTGATCTTGCTATCTTATTTACAAGCTCATTCCGTACCTAGATAGGTAAAATTAATTTTTTTAGACAGCATAATAAAAAAAGGACAGATCTAATTACATATAATTGTACACAGTAGGAAAAACAACATTCACTGTAGTCTCACAATAGTTTAATCTGTTTCTTTTTCCTCAAGACTTACATTGTAATTGTTGTTCTCACAAAAAATATCAACAGACTCCACCTTCCTGATACCCATAATTTTCAGATCGTTTTTTTCAGAAGAAGTAATAATATAATAACTGACAAACCACTCAATAAAATATCAAAATAATTAGATTTTATTTTGTCACCTATGAGACACTTGGAAATTCTAAAGTAAACAAGCACACTGCCCGTTAATTAGCCCCATTGCGGTACCAAATATCCTAAGCCTGGTAAATTGCTGAGGGTTGACGTGACAAGATAAAATAATGACATGTAATATCAATTTAATAACCTCTATTTTCCCCTTCAATTTGATAATGTGTGTAGTTTGCACACATGTGAAAAGTATTAAGGGATCCTTTGTCTGCCTGTCAGCACAGATAAGGATGCACAGTATTACCTTAAATGAGCTTCAATTTGAAGAAGTACATGTGGAGGAAGTGGGAAAAGGATATGCTGATGAAATATAGGTCTTGCTAAAAGACCTATATTAATGGAGAAGAAAAACAGATAGTTTAATATGAACAGTGTAAAAAGAAGTAAATATGGAATAAAAAGAAAGCTGTAAGTTTAAACCTACCAGCGTAAACTAAAGGTTCCTAACATGGTTTCTCTAATAACAAAAAGAACCCCTCACACAAATTATAATTTGATAGCTCTTTAAAACCCAAGTACGGAAAGAAAAAGGTATTACTTAGTCACAGATACTAAGGTCAAACAAACACCTCTCTGTAGGAGACTGTCATATCAAATTTCAGAAGCCCAAGGATATTTTCATGTATATCTACAAGTAATTTATATAAACAACTTAGTATAAATGAAAACAACTTGTTTTATCATCAACAGCAGCCAGATAACATAATCAAACAATTTTTCATATTCTTTTGTAACCAGAAGGATCTTTCTTTTTTTCACTTAAAAACAAACAACCCTGAACTTTCTACATGTTACCCCATAAAAAAATAAGGGGGGAAAAAACACATAGAAAAATGCTCATTATTACTTTCCTTTGAGCAAAGTTCTTCAATGTGGATGTAAAATCTTACCTAGATGAAACACAATACTGTATTTTAATCAATTTCTTAAAAAAAGATGTGTTGGAGGGAAACTTTAGTCTGATGAATCTTAGAGATGAGTGTTTTATGTGTACATGGGGAAATGTGGCATAGCCAAGAAGAAAACGTTTCAGAGGAATTCTGATGCACAGGAGTCAGCAAAAAGTAGATCTAGTGACATTTAGCTAAATTAATAGTTTAGTTCTTGCTATTACTGAAGTTGCATGATGTCACAATGAACAACTTACCATACAACATCTGTTTTGGCTGTAGACTTACAATGTAACACCAAGAAAGCACTGAGATGTTTTTAGGCATAGTAAGTAATCTACAGTATTGCTGCACAGGTTTGTTTTTAAATCTATTTTTATTTATTCATAAGTTGTAGGGAGGAAATCTAATAACAACAAACAAACATCACTAAAGTTGCTCCAAAATTTCTTTGAACCTGTGCAATCTTATGCCAAACCCAGGACTACCTGTCCCAAATGCCAGAAATGCCCTTTATTCTGTCCTCCTTTATGCTGAAAAAAATCTTAATTCTTGCTTTCCACTTCCAAGATCAGTTTTGTCACTTGGCATAATTTCACCTTGCCAAAACCAAAGACTACAGTGCTGTAGCTGTAGGACTACAATGGGAATCTGCATGACAAAGATTTAGCCAGTGTTCCAGGGCAATTCTGCATTGACTTCACTGGATTTCAAGCTTTCCTTAAGGAAAAGGGAAAATTGAGCAACAATGATGGCCAGCATTGTTCCAGAACATACTGTCTCATTGCACAACTTAAACTTACTGGAATAATTGGAGAAAAAAACAGTTTGGAGTATGTCTGAGCTCTTTGCAGAGAGCACTGTAGGCACTGCAAAATGATGTGGGTGAATGCTGCTGTCACGTTCCATGTGTGGGCTCCAGCACTGCCTGTTCAGCACAGCAGGGAACACCCCTCTGGCAGACTTTGACAGAGCAGACATGAGGCAGGGCATCTATCTACCCTGTGTCATTAACAGCAGCATTAATATGTCCAGACCTAACATCAGATCAGCTAAATAGGTTTATGAGCAATGTTGACACTAAAAGAGTATATGCATTCAAATGAAATTTGGATGTTTTAAGTTGCAAAATCAAGCACCTACGTGGGCATTCAAGCAACTTTTATGTACCTCAATCTTTCAAAATTTCAAAAAATTCAGGGGCAATATCCTTGTGCTTACACACTTAACATGCCAATCTCAATTGAACACCTTAGGCTCTGACAGTTTTGAATGACCGGGATACCCTGATACACTGGCAAAAACTACTGGTAGATCATAAGGCAAAACTACATTAAGATCACGTTAACTTTAAGCAAGTCAGGAATTGAAAGCAGATCTATACAGGGAAAGACTCAGGAGTCCACCACAAAAGATGATTCCCAATTAGATGAAAGCTAGAAAACGAAATCATGTTTGACCTCAGTTCAAATCAATACCCTATTTTTAGTTGTTAATAATTGTGTCTTATTTTCCTCCACATGTGTTCTATTGAAAATGCCAGCCATGCTGGGGTAGCGAAAGGGTGGAGAACATTTCTGACCTATTAACATACAGATTTTATGACAAAAGCCAAGTCCTACTCCCTTAGGACTTACTTTGCAATAATGTTTAAGATTACTTATTTTCCCATTTTGGCAGATCAGAAGCAAGAATTAAGAACAGTAGGTATTCATTTTACTGCAAGCCGTAACTTCACATGTAGAATTTTATAGGTGGTAAGATTAAAAAAGTGGATCATTCAAGTTTACCAGAGGTGTGCTGTAGTTTATTTAGAATCATCTCACTGATGGGAGAACTTGCTTATTGAGGAAACAAGCCACAAGTGCACATCATACACATCAGGTGAACAACAGTTCACCATCCAAATGCCATGTCTTAGAGAAGAAATTCTGTTTAATTTTAAATACATAAGCTTCTGATCTCTATAGCCATAAAAACTTCAATAGGGACCATTTACATGACTATGTTTGCATAAGAACATAAGAAGGTAAAGGGTCTCAGGTGCATATTTACCATGGGAGGAAGGGAGATGCCGTACTTTTCCCAACCAGGTTGCTATGCATGGCGCAAGAGAGCTAAAGCTGTGATGTGGATGCATGGGTACACACCCAAGCATGCTTTTCTACTACTATAAAGAAATCATGTCCTACAACAATCAGACCATGTTTTAGAGATGTATATACAAGTACAGTTCATATCATAATCTAAAAAAACCCCTATATAAATTTCTGCAAGTTTAACTCCATAATGAACAGATTTTCTTAAATGACAGTAGCAACTTCTTTATTGATTATAAATTCTAAAATTACAAGATCAATATTTAGGTTTAGTATTTCAAAATTAAATAGGTACTAGTAGCAAGTAACATTTCATATTTTATAACACACTCAGGAGGACTCAATTAGAAATAACTTTCCCATTTTTCTTTAAATACAGCTAGTAGTTTCTCAACACCATGTGAGAAACTAAGGGCTGATTAGCATCTGAAGTCTGCCACATACCAACTGTTATAGTAAAAGGAAATCAATCTGACAAAATGAAACATGACAGATGAAGATAAGTGAGGCAGAAAGGGAAAAGGTCAGCTGCTGTGAAACTGATAATGCTAATAAACTAGACAGTGGTAACTATCCTTATCATTTCTATTGATTATTCTTCAGACTGTCACAATGATGTCAAACCACACAAAAAAGAGCATTTATACCATCATTTCATTGATTAAATCCAGTGGGAGAAAATTCTTATCTGAAATAATTTAATCAACTTTCACAACTTGCAAAAAATTAAACAGGCTTCTCTGGATTACAAGCCACGCTGGCACTGGTAGATAGACTGGAAATTTCTGATACTTTATACTCTTAGCTTATTTTCTGT